TAGACCAAGCCACGGCTCAAGACATTCTGACAGCTTCACAGAACTGTGTGTGGGCTTCCTGCAACTACTTGAAGGTAGACCGTGAAAAAGACGTTTCTAACTTGAAAACATTTTCCTCGCAAAGGAGGGAAAAGCTCGGAGGGAGAGAGCTCACTTGGAAGTGCCGGCTGAGCCCTCAAGAGTACCAGCTACTCTTGCAGAGGACCCGAGTTCGGTTCCCAACACCCACTCGGGGCTGCTCACAGCTGTCTGTAACTCCAGCTTGAGGAGATCAGTGCCCTTCAGCAGGCACCAGAACCTAAGGGCCTATACCCACACACAGATACATGCCTGCACACATAATTTACAACAATACATGTGAAGCTGGGTGGTGGGGTAGCACGCCTTTAATCTCAGTACTCTTGAAGCAGAGGCAGGGGGATCTCTGCAAGTTCTGGTCTACAGAGTGAGTTCCAGGACAGGTTCCAAAGCCACTGGGAAACCCTGTCTCAAAAAAAAAATCAAAATAATAAAAAATAAAAAAATAAATTTTGGTCATGGAATGAGAGTTATCTCTGTGAATCACAGCATCGTGCTTCTTAGACAAACTGGTGGATTAAAGAGAACTCTAGACACTTTGGCAAAATACCTAACCGAGCAGAGACACTGAGAACCCTGGTTTGATCCCTGGGTCTTACAAAGTGGTGGGAGGAGAAACCATTTCCCCGAGTTTTCCTCTGACCTCCATATGAGTGCTGTGGCATCTCACACACCCAGAGACACACACACCTGGACACACACACACATACACTCACAAATATACACTTACACACACACACACACACACACACACACACACACACACACACACACAGGAATAAGTAATTAAAGTGCTCCAGAAACTTACTTCAGAAAGAGGCTGTAAGTTTGGTCTCAGGAAGTAGGTAATTGCGGCGATCTGAATTGCGAAGAAAGGCAGGGCCCAATTCTCCCTCAGTGGGATGGTGAACTCGACTCTCGTGGTGTCTGTTCTGTAGGAAGAGAGCACAGACCACCAGGATAACAGTCTTCACTTCCTCAAGGAATTCATCAGGGCAAAGCTACAGGGCACTTTCTTCAGGGACACACAGATCCTGTCTGTGGGCTCTCAATGGCAACTGTCATCACCATCTTCACCACTGTTACCCCCACGACATGAAATCCCGTGGGATCGGAGCTCGAGCCCGTGTTAGCGAGGACACTGAGGCACTGGGGGACCATGCCAAACTCCCCCCTCATATTTTTCTCTAGATGTTACAGGCAAGATTTTCTTTGCTTTGCTTTTTCCTTTAAAGATTTATTTATTTATTTATTTATTTTTGGTTTTTACGAGACAGGGTTTCTCTGTATTGTTTTCGAGGCTGTCAGTCCAGCCCAGCCTCGAACTCACAGAGATCCGCCTGCCTCTGCCTCCTGAGTGCTGGGATTAAAGGCATGCACCACCACCGCCCAGCTTAAAGATTGATTTTTTACTTCATGTATATGAGCGGTTTTTGACAGCAGTGGCCAGAAGAGGGTACTGGTTTCCCCTAGAACTGGAGTCACAGGCGGTTGAGAGCCGCTACGTGGGTGGTGAGAACCAAACCTGGGTCCTCAGCCAGAGCAGACCCGTGCCAAGTCATCTCTCCAGCTCTGAGACCCTGTTTCCCTTAGGGCCGCATATCTGAAAAGTGCTCATGGCAGGAGCTTCTCAAACGGCTTACCCCAGAATGTCACCCTCCAGCGGGCACGAGGAGGTACGCTTCCTCCTGTGTGCAGTCAGCACTGAGACACGCCCCTGCATGCCCACACGCCCACACCAGGGCAACTGTTACCAACCCCAAAGAGTGGCCGTGCCGTTCAGAGCGTGTGAGCGCAGTTTCAAGGTTCACAGCTCTAAAACGGAGGTGACAGTATGTGCCTACTGGGGTCGCTGCTGTTTTGTTCCGAGACAGGGTCTTTCTCTGTAGCCCTGGCTATCCTGGAGCTCAGGATGTAGACCAGGCCGGCCTCTATTTTTGGTATACCACCCAACCCGGCCCCTTATAGGGTTGTTAAAAGAATAGATTTTGAGCCAGATGTTGGTGGCGCACGCCTTTAATCCTAGCACTTGGGAGGCAGAGGCAGGTGGATCTCTGTGAGTTTGAGACCAGCCTGGTCTACAATGTGAATTCCAGGACAGCCTCCAAAACAATACAGAGAAAGAAACCCTGTCTCAGAAAACAAACAAACAACAAAAAAGAATAGATTTTGTAAAGTGCTAACACTAAACTTACAATAAAAGTGATTTGGGGAAGGTTGGATAGCGGGCTCAAATGTTAAGAGCACTGTCTGCTCTCGCAGAGAACCCAGCCTTAGGTCACAGCACTACTCACACGGAGGCTCACAACCATCTCTGAGGATATGATGCCCTCTTCTGGCCTTCAGAGGTAACAGGAACACACATAGTGTATATACACACATGCAGGCTAACACTTAAATACATAAAATATGACTAAATTTAAAAACTAATTTTCATATGGTTAAGAAGAAAACCTATATGAGAATTCATGTTAAAACTACAAGGGCCTTAATAACTATTGCTGCTGCTGCTACTGTAAGCTGGGCAACAATCTAATAAGTCTTTTTTCAAGACCCATCATGTAGTCCAGACTGGCCCATTACTTGCTACATAGTTCAGGCTGCCCTCGTACTTGGGGTACTCCTCCTGCCTCAGCCTCCTGAGTGCTGGGATTACAAGGCAAAAGCTACCATGCCTATCTTGAATGTTTTTAAACTGCTACTTGATAATGCTTCCACATCTACAAATTAATATGAAATTAATATGGAAATATATAGATAATAATAAAGCATTACATATACACAGCACTGTATATTTTTCTACAAAACCTATTATGAGGGACAGAAAGTCACCCGTGGCGGGGAAGCCCCTGATTGTAGTAGCTCGGAAAGCAGAGGCAGGAGGAGCTGAATTCAAACTCTGCCTCAGTCATGGAATGAGTTGAAAGAAAGTGTAGTGAGACCCTGCCACAAAATTGAAAAATTACAAAGAGTTTGGGACATAGTTTAGTAGCAGAATGCCCATAAGGTGAACACAATGCCACGGGTTCAATACACACACACACCACACACACACACTCCCCCCCCCGGTTGGGGAAGTCCTGTTATTTGCCTGTTATTTATCAATAAAGTACTGTTGAGCCTATAGGAATCTAGATAGGTGGGGCTAGGAGTCCAGGAGGATTCTGGGAAGGAGAAACACTGAGAGTCAACATGTAACGCCATTGGGGTAGGAGCCCGGAACTATTCTCCGGTAAGAGACATACTTAGATTAACAATTATGGGGTAATTACTTAAAGCAGAGCTAGCCAGTAAGAGACAAGCAAGGCCAACAGCTTCATAATTCATATAGCCTCCTGTGTGTTTATTTGGGACTGATGCAGCTCTGGAACCAGGCTGGCGGGAAAGCGGCTCTGGAACCAGGCTGGCGGGACGGCTTCTCTCAAGGAAAGCTTCTCTTAACACCCCCCCAACACTAACACACCCTCACACAAACACTCAAAGACATATGCACATACACACACTCTCACATACATATACTCATACATATATGCATACACACACACACTCTTACATATATACAGGCACACATACTTGAACACACTCACATATACTCTCATACAAATGCAACACTCTTACACATATACACACACATATGCACATACATACTCCCACACACATGCACTCATACACGCACTCACACGTGCTCTCTTACACACCTCTGCGAGCAGCTAGCCATACTGGGATTGCCACACATGGGCTGTGGCGCAGTATTGCTCAGAGGGAAATCTTCTGAACAGGGCTTTCTGTCTCCCTAAACAAGAAAAAAAAAAAACCCTCGATCCAAGAAACACGGCACTGTGCTCTGGCACACCAACCGCACTATTTACAGACATCCTTTGCACCCAAAACCAGTCGCTTCGTCCTCACCCAAATCCAGGGAAGGGAGAAGAGCAAGCGGACCCAACTCACCTGTTGGTGACGTACCAGAGAGCCGCCAACAGTCCTGACAACCAGGTGCCGCTCAGGAGCCAGCTGGTTATATAAAGGGCTGTGACGTAAACTGCTTGCAGCCCGAAAAGAGTGTAGATATAAAAATAAACGGGTTCTAGATACTTCTGTAAAAGGCAACAAAAAAAAAAAAAAACTGATCATCAGGGCTGGGGATGCAACTCAGTGGCAGTCTATTTGCCTAGCGTCTTGGTTACTTTTCTCTTGTTGTGAAGATACATTGTGACCATGGCAAGGTACAGAAGAAACAGTTTACTTTGGGTGTAGTTTCAGAGAGCGAGTCCACCACCATCCTGGTGGGAACATGGTGGCAGGCGGGCAGGCTGGAGCAGTAACGTTAATACAGTTTTGATTGGTTGAGGTTTTACTTTTCCCATCTTTGGGCATACTGGGGCAAGTCCAGGCCTGATTCAGGGGTTTATAAGAACTGTCCTTTTTTGGTCACTGTCTTGGGACACTGTGGGGCTAGCTCAGGCCTCATGTGTAGACCTTCCTTGTGTCTGCAATCAGGGGCAACCTTGACTAATTGTCCTTTATTGGGGGGGGGGACCTGTTCACTCTTAAAAAACTGAAACCTAGATCCAGCTGTAAAATGGGGGAAATTTAGACCCCTTAAGAGCAGCTGTCTTTCTTTAAACCAACAAGAGAAGATGCAGAGGAGACCTCTAGACAAACCAACTTTGTCTAGAGGTCTACTCTGCCTCACTCATGCAAGAAGTGGTCACTGTGATCTGATAATGTTATATATATTTTTCCAATCATAAAGACAAGTCATAGGGCTGGGCAGTGGTGGCGCACGCCTTTAGTCCCAGCATTCAGGAAGCAAAGGCTGGTGGATCTCGTGAGTTCGAGGCCAGCCTGATCTACAGAGTGAGTTCCAGGACAGGCTCCAAAGCTACCCAGGGAAATCCTGTCTTGAAATCCCTCCTCCACAAGAAGTTGTCATAGAAAAACAGGTTAGTTGGGAATGGCTACACATTTTTTAAATGAAACTATTTCTAAGACTGTACGCATATTATGAGATAAGCCAGGAAGCATCTACTTGTAAAGATAAACAGTATTTTGCAGGATTAAAAAAAGCAAAAACAAAAAACAAAAAAAGCATAACAAAGCAAATCTCTAGAGGCCTGCAGTGACAATTCTCTACAAGTCAGCTGAAACTGAAGAACACAGTGAGAGTTCCACTCTGACCAGCGAGCGGCAGGCGAGGGAGGACCTTCCTCAGACACTGAGAATCCAATGAAGAGACTGTTACATACCTGTATGGGGAGGACTCTGTATAAAACGCTGAGAAAAACTTCTTGGTAAATATTCATTCGCTGAAGGAGGTTAATTGTCCTCATGGACTCAGTTTTATTATCATAGATTAAGCCATGAAAACCTAAGGGTATTGGGGGGGGGGAGAAAAAAATTACAATCATACTTCTCCATCCATTCAGCACGATGAATAAGCTATTTAGTATTATGTTGAGGGTGTGGTCAAAACGAGTGACTTCAGAGTAAATGGCAGCGCCATGGTGACAAAGACAGCGTGACAATGAGAAAAAACAAAACAAACAAACAAACAAAAAACCCCAGACACGTAGAAGAATGGGAAACAACAAAGGAACCCAGCCAGAAGCTCAGGCAATGGTGGCATCCTACTATTTGATGAAAGCATCAGAAACGTGTCAGAGAAAAAAAAAGTGGCTAAGCGTTGGTGGTGCACGCCTTTAGTCCCAGCACTCAGGAGGCAGAGGCGGGCGGATCTCTGTGAGTTGGAGACCAGCCTGGTCTACAGAGCGAGTTCCAGGACAGCCATCTCTACATAGGGAGACTCTGTCTCGGAAGCAAACAACAAACCCTCAAATGACACCTGCTAGAGGAAAACACGTCACAGGACAGGCACACTTAAGGGTGTCTGGATAGAGCCCTGACAGAACGGCCCCTACCCAAACTGACAAAGGTGACCCCGTGAATTTAAAAGGCTTGTGCACAGCCAAGGAAACACATCCACAGAGCGGACACAAAGGCCAATAGAGGATGGGAGAAAAATCCTTGCCAGCTACACCTCAGATGGACGATCGACATCTAGAACATAGAAAGAACTACAAAAAGTGAACACCATAAAAAAAAAAACACAAATGAACCAATAAATGGGTTTTATAAACTGCTGAACAGACAGTTTATAAAAGGAACAACATGAATGGCTGGCCAATCTTTTTTTTTTAAGTGTTCAACATCCTCAACCATCAGGGAAAGGCAGATTAAATCGACTTGGAGATCCCATGAAGGAGGAGCCGCCCCACCCCACCCCCACCCCCCAGTCGACTGCTGGCGGGAGTGTAAACTGGGCAGCCACCATAGAAGCCAGCACAGAGGCTTTGTAAAAACTTAGCAAAGATGACCGTTAGAAACCAGAGCCTCCCCTGCAGATACGCGTGCCTGAGAAGCTATTGGCAGCTCATGCTTGCCAGGCAGATTGGTTTTCTTCCATGGTATAACCGCTGCTAAGTTGTCCATGTTCCAGCAGACACCACCCACGAGAGATTATGCAGGCAACCTCAGTTTAACTCAGTGGGTCCCAAACCAAACCAAACCAAACCAAACCAAACCAAACCAACCCAACCCAAACCAAACCAAACCAAACCAAACCAAACCAAACACGACATAAAAGCACATAGGAAAGAAACTCATTGGGAAGAAACAAGGTTTAGCAGAGGCAGGGGGAACAATGAAGGATGTAAAATTAACCAAAATGCACACACACACACACACACACACACACACACACACACACACACACACACACACACACACGACATTTGGTAAAGTTTTTTGGTTTTACGAGACAGGGTTTCTCTGTATTGTTTTGGAGGCTGTCGGTCCAGCCGGGCCTCGAACTCACAGAGATCCGCCTGCCTCTGCCTCCCCAGTGTGGTAAAGAATTTTTTAAAAGGCAGTTTCTTCCTCAGAAGTACTCATCATAGGATTGCTTGTCCTGTGCAGGCTGTCAATGGCATCAGCTATCTTTGCCGTGAGGCAGGAGTACACAGGCTGGGATTTACAGAAACACGAATCCACTCCATGTCGCCCCCCACAGATGGCTCCCGACAGAGGGAGGGCTATCGCCCACGATGAAACAGGCACTCCTAAGAACATGCTTCTGCCACAGGTTCGTTCTGAGGAACTGCTGCTTTTGATACCCGCTGACCTGGGCTCAAGCCAGCAGTGAGGAGACAGAGACCCTTGGCCCCAGCACCCTGAGAGGATCCCTTAAATTCTCAGGGACCCCAACTCTTGCCAAACCAGGATTTGTGGCATGATGCAAAAAACAGCTTGAGAATTAGCCAGGATGATGAAGGCAGAGCCTGGGATTCAAGAAGAGAGGGTTAGCACATCCAAAACACAGATCCCGGCTGCTGTAAGAGAGCTCGCTGTATCTTGTGCTCCAAGGTGACTGTGTGGAAGGTGTTAGAAGCTGTGGGAATTTCACTGCTCTGTGGTTTTTTGGGACACCACCTGCCTCCTTTGCCTCTGTTTCCCTCTTTGAAAGTTGAGAAGACGGGTTAGCTCCAGAGGTGCCTTGAATGGGGTAACAATCTGATAAAAATAAAACCAGGGGCTATGGGAATGGAGAGACGGCTCATTGGTTAAGAGCACTGGCTGTCTTGTAGAGGACCCCGGTCTGATTCCCAAATACATGGCAGCTCACAACTACCTCTAACTCCAGTCCTAGGGAACCTGGTACTCTCTTCTGACCTCCACAGGCCCCAGGAACACACAGAGTACACAAGACATTCATACATTTAAAGTTATGAGTCAGGTGGGTTGAGCACGGCTTTATCCCAGCACTGGGGAAGCAGAGGTGGGTGGATCTCTGAGTTTGAGGCCAGACTGGTCTACAAAGTCAGTACTCTACCACAGAAAAACAACAACAAAAAAATGAGCCCATGTGTGTGCTCACGCGAGCGTACACACACACACACACACACACACACACACACACCAATGCATCAGTGCAAAGCAGGCAGATGGTAGCAGCTATGATTACCTTGCAGGAGGGTCGGCGCCTGCAGCATCTGCTTGTAGTACGAATAGTACAGTCCACACTCCGTCCTGAATGAGATTTCTCGCTCTACTTCCTGAAACAAAAGTGAGAACGACTGGGTTTACCTGACCTAGTTTGGTTGAAACACCCGCCGTTACTATGGAAACAAGATGCAGAACTACGGAACCTGGGAAGGAAAAGATGCTCTGCAAACTCCAGAAGTCTTGACACAGGGAGGCGTGGAGGCAAGTACCTGCAATCCCAGCAGCAGGAGGCAGAGGCAGGGGGTCGTGAGTTCAAGACTGCTCTGGAGACTATAAGGAGAGACCCTGCGTCAAGGCCACCAAAAGCTGAGGACGCTGACGCTGGGCGACAGGCCGGATGTCCAGGGGTTGGGCCATTATTCTCTCTACTCTGGGAGGTGTAATTCCATAAGAAACTGTTTTTTTTAAAAACCTGGTAGAACTTGTTCCATTTTAAGTGGGTATTTCAAAGTTCATGGTTTCACACAAATTACAACTACGAAACAAAATAAACCTCTCAAAATCACCACTAGACCCAAGTAATATTAACAATAGCTCAGAGGGCTGGGGCTGGAGAGATGGCTCAGCAATGAAGAGACTCCAGACACATTTTTTATTTTATTTTATTTGGTTTTTTTTTTTCGAGACAGGGTTTCTCTGTGGCTTTGGAGGCTGTCCTGGAACTAGCTTGGTAGTCCAGGCTGGTCTCGAACTTACAGAGATCCTCCTGCCTCTGCTTCCCGAGTGCTGGGATTAAAGGCGTGCGCCACCAATGCCCAGCTCAGACACATTTTTTAGAGGAAAGTATTTCATCTATGTTATCGCAGACGCCTTTACACCAGTGCTCCAAAGAGCCATTTACATGGGCTGGAGATATGCTCCGTGGTTAAGAGCACTGGCTACTCTTGCAGAGGGCATGGGTTCAATTCCCAGCACCCACATGGCATCCCCCCAGTTCCAGGGGGGAATCTGATGCCTCCTTCTGGCCTCTGTGGTACTGCATGGACATGGTGTGCTTAGAAACATGCAGGCAACGCAGTCATAAACAACAACATTTTTTTTTTAAAACTAGTAATTTTTGATTCCCGGGCTGCCTGCCTGTGCTTGGGGTCCGCCACCGCGGCTCCCATCCCAGAGGAGGGAGCCAACGCACCCCAGCATCCTAGACTCCTGCTCTACCCATGAGACTGTATCCAGGCTGCCCTCCTCCTGTGCCTGGGGTCTACCACTGCGGCTTCCGTCCATTCCGGCGGGATACAAAGCACCCCAGCATCCTAGTCCATTTCTCCACCCACGAGGCCAGGCAGAGGAGAGCGACCAGAGCACTGGAATTGCCGACACCCTCCTGAAGGGAGCCCTGGTCCCACACCCACCAGGAGAGGAAGAGGCTCCTCCTGCACCCACTGGAAGAAGGAATGGGAAGGAGACAATACTAAAACACACTCAGCAACAGAAAAACCAATATGACACTGCCAGAGTCTAGAGACCCTCCACCAGCAAGACCTGAACATCCCAATGCAAAACAAGCAGAAGAGAATGACGCCAAATACAACTTCATGGAAATGATAGAGGCCTTCAAAGAGGATACGAGAAAATCCCTCAGAGAGATGGAAGAAAAAACAATCCAAAAAATGCAAGAAATGGAAGAAAAGACAAAGCAAAAACTGCAAGAAACAATTCAAACAGTGCAAGAGCTGAAATCTGAAATAGAAATGATAAAAAAACCAAAGTCTAAAGGAATGCTGGAAATAGAAAAACTGGGTAAATGGTCAGGAATCACAGACGCAAGCATAACCAACAGAATACAAGAAATGGAAGAGAGAATCTCAGGTATTGAAGATCCACTAGGAGAAATAGATTCATCAACCAAAGAAAATATTAAGTCTAACAAATCCCTAACACAAAACATCCAAGAAATTTGGGACACCATGAAATGACCAAACCTAAGAATAATAGGTATGGAAGAAGGAAAAGAAAACCCACCTCAAAGGGGCAGAAAACATATTCAACAAAATCATAGAAGAGCCGGGCGGTGGTGGCGCACGCCTTTAATCCCAGCACTCGGGAGGCAGAGGCAGGCGGATCTCTGTGAGTTCAAGGCTGGGCTGGACCGATAGCCTCCAAAACAATACAGAGAAACCCTGTCTCGAAAAACCAAAAAAAAAAAATCATAGAAGAAAACTTTCCCAACCTAAAGAAAGACATGCCAATGAAGGTGCAAGAAGCTTACAGAACACCAAACAGAGTGGACCACAAAAGGAAGTCACCTCTCCACATAATAGTAATAACCCTGAACATACAGAATAAAGAAAGAATATTAAGAGCAGCTAAGGAAAAAGGCCAAGTAACATATAAAGGCAAACCTATCAGAATTACAACTGACTTCTCCATGGAAACTCTGAAAGCCAGAAGGTCCTGGATAGATATTCTACCAATACTAAGAGACCAAGGATGCCAGCCTAGACTACTATACCTGGCAAAGCTCTCAATCACTATAGATGGAGGAAACAAGGTATTTCATGACAAAACCAGATTTAAACAATACATATCCACTAACCCAGCCCTACAGAAAGTTCTGGAAGGAAAACTCCAATCCAAGGAAGTTAACTACGACCAGAAAAACATAGGCAATAGATAATCCCACTTTGGGACACTTTGAAAGCAGTGCTAAGAGGAAAGTTCATAACAATAAGTGCCCACATGAAGAAACTGGAGAATAGTCACACTAGAGAATTAACAGCACAACTGAAAGCTCTAGAACAAAAGGAAGCAAACTCACCCCAGAAGAGCAGACGCCAAGAAATAATTAAATTAAGGGCTTCACCAAGAAATAATTAAATTAAGGGCTGAAATCAATAAAGTAGAAACTAGGAAAACAATACAAAGAATCAATGTAACAAAGAGTTGGTTCTTTGAAAAAAAATCAACAAGATAGAAAAACCTTTATCCAAACTTACCAAAAGGTAGAGTGTGAACATACAAATTAACAAAATCAGAAACAAAAGGGGGGACATAACAATTGGACAGTGAGGAAATCCAGAGAATCATCAGGTCATATTTTGAAAAGCTGTACTCCACAAAATTTGAAAATTTAAAGGAAATGGACAATTTTCTGGATAGAAATTCCTTACCAAAATTAAATCAAGAACAGATAAGCAATTTAAATAGTTCTATAACACCTAAGGAAATAGAAGCAGTCATCAAAGTCTCCCAATCAAAAACAAAAAACAAACAAACAAACAAAAAAAAAAACCAAGGGCCAGATGGCCTCAGTGCAGAATTTTACTGGAAATTCAAAAAACAGCTCATACCAATTCTCCTCAAAGTATTCCACACAATAGAAGCAGAAGGGTCTTTGCCAAACTCATTTTACGAGGCTTCAATAACCTTGATACCCATGCCAACAAAGACACAACTAAGAAAGATAACTTCAGGCCAATTCCCTAATGAACATTAACACAAAAATACTCAATAAAATACTGACAAATCGAATCCAAGAACACATCAGAAAAATCATCCACCATGATCAAGTAGGTTTCATCCCAGGCATGCAGGGTAAGATCAACATATGAAAATCCATCAATGTAATCCACCATATAAACAAGCTGAAAAACAAAAATCACATGATTATCTCACTAGATGCTGAAAAAGCCTTTGACAAAATCCAACACCTCTTCATGATAAAGATCTTGGAGAGATCTGGGATAACGGGAACATACCTAAACATAATAAAACCTATACAGCAAACCAACAGCCAGCATCAAACTGAATGGACAGAAACTCAAGGCATTTCCTCTAAAATCAGAAACAAGACAAGGCTGTCCACTCTCTCCATACCTCTTCAATATTGTACTTAAGTTCTAGCTAGAGCAATACGACAACAAAAGGAAATCAAGGGGATACAAATTGGAAAGGAAGAAGTCAAACTTTCACTATCTGCCGATGATATGATAGTTTGATAGTTTACATAAGTGACCCAAAAAACTCTACCAGGGAACTCTTACAGCTGATAAAGAGAATCAGTAGCCCTACTATATACAGACCATAAAAGGGCAGAGAAAGAAATCAGACGAACATCACCCTTTACAAGTGCCACAAACAACATAAAATACCTTGGGGTAACGCTAACCAAACAAGTTAAAGACCTGTATCATAAGAACTTTGAGTCATTAAAGAAAGAAATTAAAAAGATACCAGAAAATGAAATGATCTCCCATGCTCTTGGATAGGTAGGATCAATGTAATAAAAATGGCAATCCTGCCAAAAGCAATCTACAGAATCAATGCAATCCCCATCAAAATTCCAACACAATTCTTCACAGACCTTAAAAGAACAATTCTCAACTTTATATGGAAAAACAAAAGACCCAGGATACCCAAAACAACCCTGTTCAAAAAAGCAACATTGGGAGGCATCACCATCCCTGACTTCAAGCTCTATTATAGAGCTATAATCCTGAAAACAGCATGGTATTGGCACAAAAATAGACAGGTAGACCAAAGGAATCAAGTTGAACACCCTGAAATTAACCCACACACCTATGAACACACTTGATTTTTTGACAAAGAAGCTAAAATTATACAATGGAAAAAGAATCTTCAACAAATGGTGCTGGCATAACTGGATATTGGCATGTAGAAGACTGCAGATAGATCCATGTCTATCGCCATGCACAAAATTTAAGTCCAAATGGATGAAAGACCTCAACATAAATCCAGCCACACTGAACATCTTAGAAGAGAAAGTAGGAGGTATACCCTTGAACGAATTGGTACAGGAACCCACTTCCTGAACATAACACCAGTAGCAGAGACACTGAGATCGACAATTAATAAATGGGATGTCCTGAAACTGAGAAGGCAAAAGACACAGTCAACAAGACAAAAAGGCAGCCCACAGAATGGGAAAAGATATTCACTAACCCCACATCTGACAGAGGGCTGGTCTCCAAAATTTACAAAGAACTCAAAAACAAGTCTCCAAAACACCAAAGGATCTAATTAAAAAGTGGGCTACAGAACTAAATAGGGAATTCTCAATGCAAGAGTCTAAAATGACTGAGACACACTT